GACCATTTTTTAAAGCTTCTGTTTTCAGGCTAAACGCAAACTTACGAAAATCGATCGTTACTTAGCAGATCTAGCTGGATCTATCTCATTTAACTGCATTTTAACGCAACTATTTTTTCACTGAGAGCAAAAAAATTTGCATAATGGCAAAAATGTAAAACTGCGCTCTATCACTGTAATATAGTAAAATTGAGTGAAAGGTGTTAAATATTAATAAAAATACTGACAAAAAAGCAGTAAAAAATATGTTTAATTGAAGTTATTAGCAATATTTCTATGTTGGATTATTATGTTTTGTTGTTGGTTGAAGTCTATTTGGTAGAATACAATTTTCTTTCTGACGAATTAATTGTGTTTGGTACATTTTTTGCATGTTATGCGAACTCAATTTATTACAAATTCCAATTTTGGTCAACAAACTTTTTCAGCCAATAATTAATTTCGAAAATAGTATATCATTATAGTTCAGCTTTTATGGTTCACTTTTGTAAAATTACAGTGTTAGCGCAAGAGTGAGAATTATTAATTATTGCAATATTTTCTTAAGAATATTCCTCTAAAATTGCATAATTTTTGGGATGATATCATTAAAAAACAAATACATTCATTCAACTGACATATTCTGTTCTTATTCAGCAAATCTACAGTTATTCTTTTATGAGGTCATGAAAATTTGCATATTGACAAAATCGTAAACTGTGCCCCAACATTTCATTACAATATTTTATTCGATTGCGTTCGGTGCTTTCCGTTTTAGATGCGTGCTGATAATGTAAGTAAATTATCTTTTAGAAAGAATATTTTTAAGAAATTTGTGTAAGTAAAAAGTTTGCTCGTTAAAATATCAGCGATGACTGCGTCAGAAGAAACCACCGGATTTGGTACTTGCAAGTGGTTTAATGTACTCAGAGGTTATGGTTTTATTACACCTGACGATGGTGGGGATGATATATTTGTACATCAGGTAAGCTGCTATTGTTTGTACTATTCAGTTTACATTTTAGCGTGCTAATTTGAGCAAATATTGCTTTGGTAGTATAATATGAAGAAAATATAAGCACTGAATAATATTCGCAAGTTTTAGTCTTCACTATTCATGGATGGATTCCGCAGTTTGGATACAGGTGAGCGCGTTCGTTTCGATATTCGAATTCGAAATAAAGGCAAGGAAGCGGTAAAAGTGACAAGTGCTGAGCCGGATGGAAAATTGAGAGGAAGCTCGATAAAGCCTTTTGGCAAGAGCAAATCACATTATATCAGGTTGTCTGATCTGTATTTCTCATATTTGAATGATTAAATATAAAAAGTTAATATTATCATCCAGTATTTCTATTCTATCTCATATATGCACTCAATGATTACACAAAGTGACTACATCTCATAGATTCTCTGTTATGTTTAGCGGTAGAAAAATACATTTTAGGTTGCTCTGAGTGCTCAATAATCTGTATTTTTGATTAATTTACCAGTTTCAGATGCTATAAATGTGGTTTATTTGGAAATCACATAGCAGCAAAATGCAAGACAGGTCAAGGATTTGACAAACTTTGCTACAAATGCCACAAGACTGATCACTTGATTGCTGACTGCCCACAAAGATCGTACGCGAAGAATCGCGTCGAGGATCAAAAGGTCAAACAGAGTGGCCAGCCATGCGAAGAAGAAACACAAACTATCAAGTTAGATAGCGATGAAAAGAGAGACTTGCACGATAATATGACCGATTCAAGCAAGTGCAATGCTACCAATATCACTAATGACAGTAACTGTTAAGCTTTACTCTTACTTCTGCGTATTCTTTCTTCAAATCCACAACAGTTATATCAAACTACTAAAATAACTACATATGGACGAGATATGATGTATTTATTTTGCTGTCTTCATGCAATAGCGAAAGGAATTTTGATATTTGAGGTTAGCAAAAAATAAAGTTATTGATGACAAGTATTGTACGTACAATTCCTTATGATATTTGAGACGGCTATTCTTTTCGTGAATAATTTTTTCCATTCGATCTGTGATTATTTTCTTATCTGTTTTGATTTTTGACAAGATTTATTCGTCTACATAATGAGATAATCTACGCTTTTTAAGAATATGTTAGGGGAAAATTAATGTTTTTACCAATTATCATATTGACCTCAAATGTCAAAATGTGAAACAAGAAATGCTGGACTTCCTTTAGTTTTTTGGATCGCAACAACTAGTGACCGTCTTAAGCGTTTTGTAGATCTTTGGTTGTAGCTTGCAATTGTGTTTATTCGTTTGCTCAGGTCCAATGTGTCAAGTGCAATATTTAATGCTCTCAAATATTTCGAATTGTTTAAAGAATCCATGTTGTTATCTATCTGTTCTTGGAAACATTTTATTAAGTAAAGGATTTTTTTAAGTCCTATTTATTACCTGCTGTGATGCAGCCAGTTTGTAAGTAATATATAATCATCTCAGAAGGCGTTGCTTACGAGTTTTTAAGCATCAAAATAAACGACACGATTCTGAAACTTGATTGACTGCTCAATTCGAATATCAATTCAAGATGCCAAACAGTCTTTATTGAGTAGGTAAATTATGTTACACAATAGTATTAAATTTATTTTCAAACAAGAGTATCGTCTGCAACAACTTTTATTTACATAACAGGTCACATTGCAATAGTCATTTTTATGTCACATAGTAAATCCAAAAATGTTTACTGTTATTTCTCGTTCACGACTTTCTGGGGAGGGAGCTGAGGCATATGCAAGAAGGTATGCACTTGGATGCCAGGCACACGTATATGTTTCTGCATTTACTTTAAGTTCGTGTACTCTAAATACGAAAAATACTTGTACAAAAAACTGGCGCACAAAACATATTTCCAAAAATCTACACTCAGAGAAAATTAGTAAAATGATTAGGTTCACTAAGCAAGGATGCATAGGAAAAATAACCTGTTTCCATTTTCTGCCCAACAAATATCGATGAAATGGTCTTCGCTAGCACATGCCAATAGCTGACTATCTGAACTGAATGATATTGAACGTAAAGGATAATCCAATCTAAAATAACAAATATTTAATAAAGCAAATTTAATTGAAAATATAGAAATAGCACTACAAACTGAAACTTATGAGAGGTAATTTAAATCAAGCATAGTTAACAGTAAGAACCTGCTCATATTTTATTGAATCATACTATAAAGTGAATTGTCATCCATTACCGGGCTTTAAAAAATCTTGAATGTGAAGATGGCTACAAAAAAATTAAGTAAGAAATGCAATGTTATTTTTTCAATGCATACTTACTAAGAGAAACTACATCAGAAAAAGTTTTGGTAATTAATTTCATAATCAACTAATTGATAATTGATTTATGGATGAAGTCAGCAGTATATAATTAAAAGGATTCAGACCTTGTCATGTTCGATTCACTAATTAACTCATTGGCATCCCAAATTGAACAAATAGCATCTGATGCACCAACGGCAAAACGTCGACCATCTGGTGAAACTGCTATACAGACGCAAGCTGCCTGTGCAGGATGAGCTTGCAACATTCGACGATGAGTTACATCGGGTGCTCTGAAAGAGTTTGCGGTTTGGTTATTTTTTTTTTAATATTTTTAGTTATGGTAAGGAGAAGGTTACAAAAAGCTGTACGCAGCAAAATAATGAGACAGTGTAAAAGACGACAAATAGAACATTAAAGTGGACATAGTTAGGTAATATACAGAATGTGTTTCGGGATGTTGTACAAAAATGACAGAATATGTCAAGTACACTCAACATTTTGAACAATACATCTTGACAGAGTTTAACTTATGCTTAAAGTAATATGATTTTCAAGGGGCAATCGAATCAAGTAATTATAATTTCTGAGGGTTTGGGAAAGCTGCAACAATTTCATACATTAATAATTAGCAAGAAGTCCCATTAGCAGTTAAGATTTTAAAATTTAAAAAACCTACGAGAAAATATTTACTTGGCCACTTCCCATGGCTACAAATAAGTATTTGCCAGACGGATCAAATGCAAATTCATTCACTTCATCTTTCAATGATTCAACTTTGATAGTTTTCAAGCTACGACTATCAAGAATACTGAGGGAATCTTCTTTGTCGCCGTATACCAAATACGTACCGCACGGTGACCAAGTAACATTCAGATTCTGTGCTGCATACATCAAACATTTAAAAATGCTTGTAAGTTAAATTATCAACCACTAGCTAAATATTTCTATTTAACACAATTTTAAATTTAATTACTCTAAAAATAAATTTTAAAGATTCTAAAAGTAGCATGCTATCAATGACAGATAGATAAATCATTACTAAATACTATAGATTTTGTAAAATTTGTTATTTTATCACAAAATTTTTTACATGCTAGGACTTTTAGAAGCAACAATTAGAATAATAATTAATATTTCGTGAAATGATAACAATATACGGCGAATTTGTTTCACCTTTGGTATTTAGCCTTGTATGTGTTCTTGCTTGTCGAATATCCCACAATCGGACAGATTTATCAGCACTAGCCGAAGCCAGTAGATATGGATTGGATGGATGAAAGGCAACTTGATCAACTTGTTCATTATGCCCAAATCCACGAAAAATACTTTTCTAAACATGGTAGCGAATGGTATAGATAGATCGATAATTTGTTCAGAGTAAAAGAATATAATGCAAATATAGCGAAATTTTTATATGGAATCAAAGTCCTTGCGTTCTCATCCTGAACTACGGACTCATTTCAGAAAAGAATAATTTAAAATGTTTTAATTTCCAAGAATTATTCAGAGAAGGTAATTCAAGCTATGAATTAATAAAGATATACGCACAGTTCGGAAGGACGAATCAAACGTTATCACAGACACACTTTTCTCCGCACCTGAAGCAAGACGAGTGCCATCACAATTCCATGACACAGTAAGAGGTCGTGGTACCTTAAATTTTAACAATGAGACGTGAAAGACATTAAATATCATTTTTTTCTTCCAATGTTGTAGTTCTAAACATTATTCACTGTGGATGAATAGTGAATATGGAAAAATTCAAATAATACTTAGACCTTAACAACATCGCGACAAAATGATACCAATGGAATCGGATGTTACGTAAAGTGAAATAATAAATATCATTTCGTATTGCAAAAAATATTAGGTTATCAAAGTGTCTAGAATTACAAGGTCCTATCTTGTAAAGATAACTTATCTTGCAATTTTAATTTTTCTTAAAAGCTAGAAGAATTTTTCCTCACTTGCATGTCATAACTTTTTCCTCTGTCATTTTTCTTAAAATGAGTAACTGCATCTTGAAAACTCTGAAACTTGGAAAGTGATCCGTTCTTCCGCTGTAAAGTTGAGGACATTTCCCGAGTTTGTACTACCATACTGAAAAATGGGGTGAAAATTTTTTGAAAATTAAACATGAGTTAGAAAAGAAATTTTTTTGAAAAGTTATTTTTTGGATTGAAATATAAAAGCAGCTGAAAAGCTACTTTAAATTGCTACAGCAAAAATAATGAAACAAAGCCAAATTTGCTGTCAGAAAAAGATTAGTTACAGTAGAATAGTACAAATTTAGCAATGATACCATACCAAAAACAAGAAAAAAGTTTTCCAAGCAATAATAGTCTTTCTCTTAAACGCTTGGAATGCTGTGATAAAGCCAGCATGAATTAGAAATTAATTCAAACTTAGTAAGAAATTAAGATCAAAAGTAAACAATTAAGCACAATACAAAGTAAAGTACTTTGAAAAAATTTCTGGGGACAATCGTTATCGATAACATCCTTATCAGTATTCTTTGGCTGTTAATCTAATCAGAAAAAAGTCAAACAATCAATTCTCTGTCGCTTCCCTCATGCATTACCGAAAATTTTTATTTTAACAATGTATGATATACATCTCAGTGCTTGTTATTTATGATAACATTAACTTCGTAAAAATTCGAAAATCTCTAAATTTCAATTCTTACATAGTGTGATTGACTATTACTGAATCTTCTAATTAATGGTCAGAAACTAATTAATAATCAGAAAGTGTTCTAGACAAATAACTATCAATGCAGTACTTCAGCGAGCCTGCTTCATTTTTTTCTTGTTCCAACTTCTCCGAGCTACTTGAAATTTGTCGTAAATGAACATCTTGACTATTTTAATGAAATTTTCAGATTAAAATCGTCAGAAATGTGGGCATGGTTTCATTTCACTGTAAACGACATTCTCTTATTTCAGTCTTGGAAAATTGATACCAATTGGAGTAAGTATTTACGATCAAGTAATTCATTCCCGACGAAAGAATTAAAAATGTTGATTTCCAGCTTTATCCATATATATATAATTTGTTATCAACTCTCTTCGACAAATAGACATATAAAATATAAAATACTAACAAGATGGTATCCTTTAATCTTTTAAAATTGTGCTACTTTTTAAGACTGGAAATACAATTTAATTAAGTGATCACTTGATTTATCAAAAAAAATTCAAAAGTTCCTTTGAAATGTATCTAAATTTTCATAATAATAAACTTTTATTGTTGTTAGAAATGATAATCAGTTGTGTTGGAATATTCATACTTGGAATACTTTTCGAAGCAATCAAATGGTTGAAAACAAAAATCAGCTTGTCTTCGCCGATTAATTCATACGACACAACAATTAGTGAATCGTAAGTTGATTTTACACGGCAAAAGTAACTTAAATAATACATTAAACATTTACTGCTTATAAGAAAATGTGCAAATATTTAGAGCGATACATCATCTATATGCATATAACAAATATAATTACTTCCACATTATTTTTTATAAAAAATATTTCCGGTTCAGAGTTGCAAAAGCGAAATCAGCGCGGCGACAAGTGCTAGAAACAATTTTGTTTGCAATACAACTTATCATCGGCTACGTACTTATGCTAATTTTTATGAGCTATTCAATTTGGTTTGAAGCAGCAGTCGTCCTGGGAGTTACAACTGGATTTTTTATTTTCAGCTTAAGTTTATAGGTAAAAAAAACATTAATATCAATCATTCTTCATATATGCATTGACGCTGTTCAGCTAAATCACAATTTCTTTCTTTATTAATCTAATCAAAGCATTTTTCTAAGTTTTTTAACGTGTGAAATGGCATAAAATACCGAATACCAATCTTTATTCTACTTCAAACACATTTCTACAGCTCTTTAAAACTAAATATGCGGGCGATAAATATAATAAATGCAACTGATGAAATAGAATTTCACTGAATGTGGGCATCCTACTTTAGCTCCTTGGAACAATAACTATTACGATTCATTAAAAGATTAATTCCAACGCAAACTTTACGCCCAATTCAATTATTTCACGTACTGGAATAAAATTTCTCAAACTTCCTTTTTTTTTAACTTTATTATTATTAAATGATGACAGGTGATAAACATAGAAGTTACTGAAATCTGCATAGTTCTGGAAAACTTCTGAGGATTAAGAAAAATTTTTAGTATTCAAAATATTAGGTAAAGCAAATTGGGTAGACTATGACATATAGCTTAACAATAATGTATGTTTGGGAAGTATTTAGATACTGCTACAGTACAGAGCAACTGTTGTTACAAAACCCCCTACTTGAGTATGGGCAAATAAGGGCAGGCAAATTTTTGGTTAAAATTGGATAATTTATGATAACATGGCCGATCAAACTCTAAAGCACTTACAATTATTGCTACCGGAAATTTCAACTAATTCAGAAATTATTTTCGGGAAAAAGATGTAATATTATTATGTTAGTAGTGATAAAAGTACAACCCAATAACATGTAAGAAAAAATATAATAATAGTTGGTAAGCAGAAATAATGCATGGAATTTTCTATTCAAATAAACGAAATATACAAAAGGTACCTACAGGAAATTCATAATTTGTTACTTACATGTACAAACAAACATAAAACAAATAATTTTGAAAGTTTTTCAACAAAGCACTTTAACAAGGCATTTATTTATGCAGCTTACCACAGTTAGTACTTTCAATCTTACTCAAAAGTTTTTTTAATAACAAAAACACGAACAGTAATCTAATTTCAAGTACAATCTACATCTGCTGCTTCCCACTACTTGTGTCCTTCAAATACTTACCTGATCTATAGTCTATTTGACCTTTTCTGATCGATCCCATCTCATTTAGCACATTTCCAAAATGTTATTACACATTCTGATCTAAAATTTCAAATCAGCCGACACTTATTCAGGCATGCATTTAAATGTGTTAAAAATTCATGAAAACTATAGTAATGAATCATAACAACATGTCATTTTTTTGATGACTCACTTTCCTAAGAGCGCACCGAATATTTTTGATTTGATTATTCAGCCAATATCACTCCGCCTCTCATCCAAAGATTGCTATTTGCATCATATAAAATAGAAATCATACTGTCAAGTACCAAGAAATTGCTAACAGCGTACAGAACTACATCTTCAATCTTCGAGGTAAGCGAATTAAGCGTTGAAATTCGTAAAAAGCTCATACTGCAGAATTCTACATGTTTTTGCTCCCCATAAATTAAATCCCAACAAATTTCAATAAAAAATTTAATTAGTACGAACTCACAATTTACATCTTCTTGTTATTTATATCGTATTAACTGACAATTTACAATACTCTAAAATTAACATTTATAAATTCGAAAAGCAAGCAGTTATGAAGTAGCAGTTAAGACCTACCAAATATACAAAAACTGAATTAAAGTGTCACGAATAATATTTTTTCAAAACCTAAATTAAGAAATAGCAAACAATTATTTGTAAACAAACTAAAATTTATTTGGGAGAAAAGTAGAGATTGGTGAGACGCAAAATATAGAGCGTAGAACTTCAGAGCATAAAGGAATTCTATACTCGAAAGATAAGAAAGATTTGGATAGAAAATGAGTGTCCAAAATTACTCGATGGATTATAAAATGGATAACAGTCGAGGCTAGGATTCATCTAGCCATCAGTTACAAATCTGTTTCGCCACAATTTGTGAAACTTACTATTTTGCAATATTTTCATCCATTCCTTTACTGCGAGGGTAATCCGATAATTTATTCCTTCTCGTTCGTTATACTCAATCTTTGTTCTTAGGCGAGTAAAATTTAGTCATATTGTATTTTTGAATATTGACCTTTAACCTCAATTTAAATAAAATTTCTTTGGAATTTTTAATTAATTTGGATGTCAGTGATATTTTACTATTAATTATTCACGATCGTCTCACTTTTTATGCATCTAATTACGCATGCTTCATTATTTTTTTGTGTTAAAACATTGAAAGGTACAATCTTAATGTTTGGGCAGTTTTTAGAATTCATTTCTAGATGCAGTGGATGAAATTTTGACAGTAGCTATTAATTTATGATTAAAAAATACATTTTTTAAATATAATTATAAATAAATATATATGTGCGTAAATTATTGTAAAATATTGATAAAATGCATATTAATTTCAAAATTGATAGCAAGATATCAATCTGACAATTTTAATTTTAAAATTATGGCTCGGAATCTGCTAATTATTAAAAAATGTGAACAATGTTAAGAGTAGAATTTTCTGATGCAAGTGATATAAATTATTATAAACAAATTTCTATTTTGTTTTTCATGAGTTACTAGATCATAGCATATTTTTTGACAGTTGATTCGATGTTGTATTATGTTTTGGTTTCTATTCAAATTAAGATAATATTTAATTGAAGCTGTGACATTTCAAATAATCCTATAGTAGTTGTAAAACAGGTCATTTTGCAATTTTTTTTGACTTGTCTATATATTTTTGATGCTTTGTTAGCGGTTAGTAAAAATACAAAAATTAGTAATCTAAATTCATTTAATTCGAATAACTTGAATGACTTATACCTCCGCGTACATCAAACAACTGTAAGCATTGCATGCAGAAAAGGAGGAATGAATACACAAGTTATTTCTATCTAGCTTCAAGATTTCACTTACCAACACCAATAATATTTGCCAAAAATCGGTGAAGTAGAGGTCGCTCAATTATTGGGTAAACTTTGGGCATGACAAGTGAATTTGTGAATTGGGATTGGAAAGTTTTCGCTACAAGCTGTTCACAGGTATTTTCTTTTATAAATCACATGTTTGTGACTCGAAATTAGTATTCTTAAGTGTTCAGTGGTAGATATAAGAATTTTCAGTTTATGTTAACCTCAAGCTTTGAGCATCTCACAATACTAGAATAATGAATGGTAGTGTAATCGATGTTTTTTCCAGGTTTTGTTATCATTTATCTGCTTTCGTTTCCTACAATTCATAGTACGGTGGTATTTATTTGGAACGTGTACTTTCAAGACATTTTCATACTTTGGTTGGACTACAAATAATAGCCATTGTAATGATCTTGTCGACCTTCACAGCAGTCAGTCATTGTTGGTAAGTTCAATATGTTCGGTATTTGATTCCATTTCTGAATTAGTCTGTGTATACAAGTAATAAGATTAATTCATATATGAAGTTAAATTGTCTATAAAAATTGTACTAGCACTTTGACTATAGATGTATTATTATATCACTATTTAAATGTTATGTAGGTGGTACCTCCGAATAGACGTTGGAGAATAAGCAATGAATCAGTTTCATTAGGCCATTCTGTAGTGTCCGGTTTTTGGGCTCTTTATGCAATTATTGTATATCCAAAATTAATTGAAGACATGGTTTGTTATAAAAATACCATGGCACATTACCTTGTAAGTTTTTTATAAATTTGTTCTTTACAAATCCAGAAAAAGAAATGAAAAAAGGAGTGGAAACTAGTTTTTCAGAGTTTAAGTGCTATACTTTTTTCCATTTTTGATAAAAACTTAAAACTAAAAAACTCAATAATTCATGGCATCTGAAATTTTTAATTCGTATTTTTTGCAGTTAATTATGTCGACAGGATATTTAATACATGATCTTATTGATTTGCTCATAAATGAACAATCGTTACGTATTATTGAGCTTCTTTTCCATCATGTTATTGTCTTACTTGCATTTACCACTAATTATACGACTGGTAAATTTTTAGGTATGTTTTGAAAGTTTTTATAGAATAAGTCACCAGTAAATTGGTAATAATAATGGTGATCTCTGTGATGCAGATTCTTTTCTTTATCAAGACAATTTTCAGGTGTAGTTATTTGTGGACTTTTGATGGAACTTAATAGCATCTTCTTGCATTCGCGTTCCATGTTAAATCTCTATAGAGTTGACAAATCATCGACGCCATTTCGTATTGTGGCATTGCTGAATATTGTTACATTCATCGTATTTCGCATCGCTATTAGTGCTTATTTATTGTATTGGCAATTCACAACAGCTTGGAAAATGGTGTGGTTCTTAACGTTGGTCACGTTCATTATCATCGTTTCACTTGCCATAACTAATGTGGTTCTGTTGTATAGGTTAGTTCTGTTATGTGAAGTAGATGCTGTACTAAAAATCTGTTCGTTGCCAGTTGTCTTGCAATATTTCATTTTGATTTTTTTCCTCGACTGAAATGTTTTCAACTATCAAGGAATCAGTGATGGAAATGACTGCTAGAAAGACATCTTTCATTGAAAGTTGGGTCGAAAAAAAATTCCTTCATCTCATGTCTTTGAGGATTATGCTGTATTGATAAAGAAGTTTGTTGAATTACAAGAAGAACAATACTTTTTGGAGCCAAATCTTTAAAATTTTTATAGAGTTTTGGCTGCTGATGGATTGCTTGGTAAGAAGCGGAAACGTGGAGCTCCTGCAGATCCTTCACAAATAACGACACAATCTCCAGAAATAAATCATGATCAAAGTCATGATGAAACTGCTGATGACGATGAAATTGAAGTCATTGCTTAATGTAAGATAATTCTTGCATAGACCTGGCTCCACTTTTCTTTCCACTTAGCTGTGTTATGTTATGTGTGCTTCAAAATTTTGTTTGCTCATATTGTTCTTAATATGGCATATTTATTTTCTTCTTTGTCACTAGTGATGAGATGATAGTTAAGTTCTATTTTTAAATTAAATTTTCTGTTAGGCTATTGGATGATTTTAATTTCTTCGTCTTACAGTAACTTCCAAAACAATGTGAAGTGTACTTATTCCTAGCCTTTATAGTTTTCAATTAAAGGTTTCAACAAATTTACCAAACTTTGATCTTTTAAAATTTTTAACTTGAAGAAATTTCAAAATTGGAGATTTGAGATTTGATCAGATTCTGGTTCATTTTTTAGCAAATTCTATTTCGATACCAAAACAGCATCTCTGTTGTCTTAACAGACTAAATTTTAGAAACATTTCATGTTATTGTAATAGGTATTATATTGAAAGTTTTATTAAGAAGCCTTTATTATACTTACTTGCTTTCTAAATTACTTATTATTGATCATTAGTTCGCTTTTGTAAAAATTCATAAAAATGGAAGACTTACAAAGAAAACGTTATGAAGATGAAATATTCCTTATGTTAAAAAGTAATCTAGGTAACCCATTTAGTCTTCACTATTTTTATCTTCCAATTTATAAGAAACGTGCGCTTGAGCGTTTTTGGATTCGTGTATAAATGGAAGAACATCATTTGTCGATATTGTGAAGTGAAATAGAAAGTAGTAATGAGTACTTTTAAAGCATTAAAAATTTGGGTAGGCCTTATTAAAGGTAATTTTAAGTTGTCTGTTGCCTCTTGTAAATCTTATCATACATCTGTTACAGAAATCTTCCGACAGCGATACTTTACATACGCTCCTAGCAAACTTTTTCGCTGATTTCATTGTTTTATACATCGTTAATGACTTATTAAATGCATTTTCATTGCCTCTGTTCCAAGCCAAATTATTCGATCTAACCAGATTTCAGCCTATTCTTCTTTGAAAGTTTCAGTTGTTCGATTTACATTTCTTGTTGTTGTTCTTGTAATTTAGTAATGTTATGCAGCATTTCTGTTTATGACGCTTCTTGTCATTTGAAAATGTTATTTCTGCATACTTCTTTCTGCTACCGGTAATGAAGAGTCCAATGCTTATTACTTATTGGAGTGTAATAATCATCCATATTTGCTTATTGCATCGTTTCATTTATTGCTACTGTGATTTGATACGCTTCAAACTATGATCTAATCTCTTTCACCGTCATTCCAGTTTATAGTTATCGTACGTTTGACTTAAAGTTATCTCTTCACTGCGCTGTTAAAAAATGTGTAAAAAGTTTCGTTTGTATATAAATAATGATACCGTGGAAAAATGAGTAATTGTCGACATACCATCATTCAGCAAGAGCTGTGACTATTAACTTGTTTTCCGGCAAAAATATTAGTTATAATATTGCTGAGTCAGGGGTTCCATAGAATAAAAGGATCACAGCCAAGTCTATATAGCATTTTTCAACAACCTATTACTTCTGCTGCATTGTGTATACGACTACAGTTAGTAGAGTGGGATTGTTTTTAGCAGGTTTCATATTGAGCTCTACAAAGCTTTTCGCAGTTAAAATCGTTTCGAAGTATTTGTGCGTAAGTAGCCACTTTGTATCAAAAAACATCAAAAACAGTGCAAGGAAGCAAAGTGAAGTTGGAAAATATTAAATTCAGAAGTAATGGAGGTAAATAAGTTTTAGGTGCAACAGTTTGAAGTGTAGTAAAACTTAATCACTCGATACTAAATAAAACTTGCTGAAAAAATAGAGCTGATCACAAGCTGGGAATGGAAAAACGCACAGAGATTTTAATGAATACAAACAATAGCGCAGAAATGCAAAAGAGATGGTGCAGATTTATATGTACTCATTCTTATACATATATATATATATATA